GGGGGGGGGGGAGATAACAGAGAAAGCTCATTCTCATCGTTATCAACTGCCAAAGTAGTTTCTACTCTCGCCACCTGAACAAAAAACTAGGCCTCCAACCAACAGTGGTTTACAAGTTACAATTTCACCTACCAACAGATTTATAACTTCCCTGCTCAAACCGGTACACGTCTACCCCGGTATTTGTCGAAGAACTGCAACAGAAAAAAGAAAAACACATAAATCTGCAGTCCAGAAGAATGCACGTGTACTTCGAATTCAAACAATCTAACAAAACTTTCTGATCTGGACACCTGCAGATTAACTAGTCCATGAAAGTAAATACAAATGCAAACTAAGAATTTAGACTAGTATGATGTAAACAAAGATGTTATCATATAGCATTTGGTATCATTTCAGACACCAGGGAAAAACTATTAGCCATGTTGAGACTCATCGAAACTTGGCTAGAACTTCATTATGATAAGGAAATAATATAACCTCTACCTTACATCATCACCTAAACCTAAACTCCCCCCAGGGGTAGACATAGACATATAACATCAACAAAACTCTCTCCTAACTACTCTTGGCGATTCACGGAAGGTATGACACTACCAATCTATGCTCCGATCAAAATTTGGGACTTATGAGATCCATTTGAAAACAAATTTTCAACCCAATAAATATGGTCTCCATTTAATCCAAGTCAACACTATGGTTATTATTTTGTCCTCGTTAATTGCCTCGTGCCTATATATTAGAGAAGGAAGAAACGGACTCAAGAAAAACACTGGCCTTTGATCCAGCATTAACACTGCCTCAATGCTGACAACAATATTGATCATGGCTGTCTTCAGCTTCTCGTAAGCATCTCACCTTGCATCCTTCCATGAGATACTGTTACGACATGACAATTATGCCATGATTGGCTATGAATTTTCAATACTAGCTTGTTTTCCTAGTTGTTGGTAAGTCTCATGTTTTCCATCAATGATGTGACACAAAAAAATGCATCTGGCTCAGGACATAAAGCAGCAATCTTTAGTTTCTCTTATTTGTGTAATCTATTGACAATGAAACATTGTACTCCTTGACACAAGCATTTGGATCTCACATATATCAAAATCCCCAGCATCCAAACTTGTGTCTCAAATTACTGACCATCTGATCAGTCGCACTTCTAAACTAGCACTTGTAATGTAGACCTCGGGCATCACAAATATTTCCAGGAATTGAAGCTTCTAATGATTGCCCTATTGTCTTTAGTTGCTTCACCCATGTTTTCATTGCCTAACCCAATGATTTATTCAACTCCTTCGTAACAGTAGTAAGTTTATGCTTAATAATGGTCTGATGCCAACAGTTTTCAACTCTACTACTTCTAGTCCCATCTCCATCTTTTTAATCAAACCATTCCTAAAACTTCACTGTTCTGACGACCTTACTTGAACTGGATTTCTCTATAGATTGTACAGCTGTGTCCTTGAGTTCTAAGAATTTCACTTCATTGTTCTGATGCCAATATGATATAAACTAGAAAAAATTCCATACTGAAAACCCAAAGATACAAAGTTGAGGTACTTTGAGAGACCACAGTGCCCTCCCTACACTAGATTCCAAATTTCCACATACCTAATACCCCCACCTTACTCATCGCCTATAAATTCCCCCTCCCCCCAAATTTCTCTCATTCAATCACATTATTCCCAAACTCATCCTCCACCTATTAGCTTCGCAACAGAGATGACCCGTGCAAATTTCCTACTATGCTTTTCTCACAATATAATATAATGTAACTCCAATGAAATAACGTGACTCCATATGAAACAATTAATATTAAAAAAGGCTCCATGAAGGGGAAACATAATCAGCAGATTAAAAGATCCAGACAACTGATAAAAAAAAAAACTGCTAAAAGAAGTATGAACCAACCGATCTGACATATGGTTGCTGAAATAACCATCCAAGAACTGGAATTTTCTGAAGAAAGACTGCCAATGTTGGCCAAAAGCCACTGCACAGTATAATTTATCAACATTCAGCACAGCCCAATATTAGAAAGACATATACAGACAAATTGAAATTGTAGCCACATGGTTCCAACAAACCTGAAAAGGACAACAAAACCATACGCTTCCAATATCATGCCAATGATTGGCCATCCTATGATAACAAAGAAGAACCCTAAACCAAAAGAAATTGTTCCCTGCACAATTAATGAATAGCATATTGTCATGAAAAAAAAAATGCATGCACAATAAAGGACGAGTATGAGGAAAAGAGTATCTATCTCTGGCACTGACCTTAAAATTTTGACGTTTCATAAAGAATTGCATGGTTGACTTGAGTCCAATGGTGAGAGTTACTCCTGAGAAGAACAGGATCTGATTCAGCGAATCAGAAAAGAGGTAGTGTTAAGAGTTTACATTGAAATGAAACAAGCATTATAAATCTTTTTACTTGGGTCGAGAAAAATATAAATTTTACACTTACATTTCCCATGGCAAGTAATCCCTTGTCAAAGAAGAATACAATTCCCAGGAATGAGAAAAATATCCCAAATCCTGTCAGTCCTAGGCCAATCTCTGCTCATTTGGAAATTTCCTCGTTAATGCCATTACAAATTAACAATTCCATATAAGAAACAAAACAATTAGAAAAGACCACACAGCTTCACTCCTATATGCGTGAATATTACCAAAGTAGACACGCAAAAATCAACTAAATACGTAGCATTAAGAATATGTGTGAAAGCAATCTATGACTTAATAGGATACAAATTTCTATAAATGGTGTCTAGCCACTAAACTTAGTTGAAGACCAAAAATTCCATTTCAACACATTTTCGGTCTTCAAGAAAGCAAATACAGACGAGAAGCAACAATACTAGATTAAGTGATCAAAAACTCCATCGCATGGCCATTGCCAACGCCGGATTCACCATATTCAAACCTATGACCAACAGAACACTCATTCCAAACATTCTAATTACCAAACTACAAACAGAATAAAACGATAATACTGTAATAGTCAAGTGGCCTAAACCAATAGCTAATTACTTGAAAGGAGAAACCGATCCACTTTACAGGATAGTCCATCGGCAAGAAATAGTAAACTTACTCTTGCGATCATTCATTTCAAAGGAAACCATATCTACTGACAATTGAAATTCACCTCCCTGCCTTCACTGCATAATTTCAAAACGCAATAAAAAAGAAACAGGCCGATCAGATCAGCAAAGCAACTTCAATCAACAAAAATCCTAGGGTTAGCGCAGCAAAAATTGAGAAAAGTCATACAAGATCCAGATGAAGTTCCATCAATGAATCAATCAACCAGAACAACAAATAACAAGGTTTCAAGAACAAATCTAATAAAAACCTGGAACATAACAAAGAGAAAGAGATTTACATCAATTAAATCAGTATGAGCATAAGAGAGAGCAGCAAATTGCAGGCGATTATTGTTGTTATGCAAGGAAAACAGCGGAATTAAAGGAATACAAATGCACAACGAAGAGTTAGAGTAATGAAAGGAGAAAGAAAGAGGAACCTGAGAGTGCAGACAGAAATGGCTGAACTCAACACGAAGAGGAGCAATTCAGGGACGTGCCACTGGCAAGATGCATTCCGCTATTCCGCGCGCGCGCACACATATAGGTACCTAAATATCGACCTCCAACATAATTTTGCTTTAAAAATGGACGAAAATAAAATCTATTTTAATTAAATTATTTATTAGATAATAAAATAATCAACCATTCAAAATCGAGAACAACTCTACAAAGAGCTTCGAACCGTAGAAAAAGCTCGAGCCTACTTACAAAAAGTCATAATGGAAACGGATCGGTTTCAAGTTAGGTATTTCATAGTTTTCACCATAGTTACCTCTCAGTAATTAGTCGTAATTTACCCACTTGGTTATTCGTAATTACCACCATATAGTTCACTGTGGGGTAATGAAACCTACCGTGTTCATTAAAGTCCCTTAATTTTAATACTCCCCTTATTTTTTTAAATTGATTTTCTAATAAGAACGAGCTAGTAGTGACAAAATGAGCTGAATATTTTTATTTATTTTAAAGTTAAAAAACTCTTGTCTTATTTATTAAAATTTTAATTTAATTTAATTTATTTTGTTAGGTATGATTTTGTAGACTTCCGCGAAAAGCTATATATATATGTAAGTACGGACCGCCTCTCTCTCTCCTTCTCTCTCGAATACAAACCGGAACAGAGCTTCCAATTTCTTAGCTCTACATGGACTAATGGAAACCACACCCACTCTCTGCAGCTTTCCTCCATATCCATTCACTTCTCATCTCCATTACCGCCACCTCCGCTGCCGCATCTACTCGCCTGAGCCCCGACAACTCTTTACCACTCTCTCCTGCTTCAAACCACGCCGTCGGCCTCGCCGGAAAAACAAGCTCGCTAAGTTCCACACCATCCAATCACCCCTCGAATCCTCCTCTGACTCGAAGCTCCAAACTATAATTGAAATTGATCAATTCACCGCCGAAGCCTCCTCTCTCGTTTACTCCGTCTACTACTACTCCCGTTCCCAATTTCGCCAGTTTCTGTCGTCTGGATTGGACGCTTTCCATGATTTGCGGACGTTGATTGCTTTCGATGACCAGAATCGCACATTGACCGTCTCTTGTCGGCGTTCCACTGTGGAATTCCTAGGTCAGTTGGTGCTATTCAGCTTCGTTGTGGTCTTTCTAGGTAGGGTTTTAATCGGGATCGGATCTCGTTTTCGTAACCAATTTAGTTATGGGTATACTTCTCCTGTGGTGAGGAGGGACCGCAGCCTCGGTGGACGAGAGGTTGTTGTTGGAACTGTGCGGGATAAAGCTATGGCGAAGAAGAACAATCATTTTGGGATCTTGGATAGTCCCCTATCCATGACTTCAATGGCTCTGACTGATGTTTCAGATGAAGTATCGAGGAATGGGGCTTGGGTTGGAGATAGATTGCCAAAATGGTGGCCTCCGGCAGTTCCTAGACGGATTTCCACGGCGAATAGGCAGGGATATCAGATAGAAGCTGACAGATTAGTACGAGGTCAGTGCACAAAGAATTCTTATATGTACAAATTTCACATTGCCATTACGTTATACTCTTGATTGCAATTTGAAGCTGAACTTACCCTCTTGATTTCCAGCCCTCGTGGACAGTAGAATGAGTGGGCGGGATTTCATGGAGGATGATATTCTACATGTGAGTGCCGTTCTTTAACTATATTTGGCTAATTTTTTATACAGTAATTTGCAGGTATACTGAGTTTACTTCCCTTTCATCTATGGTTTATCATGCCTCCTCCTACAATGCAATTATTGAACATTCATGATTATTTTTGTTGCAAAAAAAGAAAATTGATTTAAAGACGAGATAAAAAATGAAAACACTGAAATGAGCGGTGAGGATTTGACGTTTCTAACACCGAAACTAGAAAACACACGAAAAATAAAATAACAAATAGCCAGGGTAGACAACTAAGCAATCAACTTATCTGATATGATTTGCTTGGAATATGTAAAAGGAACTGGATCAACTACTTTAGATTGGCTTGCATAAGATTTGGCTAGATTACAGTATTGATTAACAAATGCTTTTATCATACAACTTGCTGTCATCGCTCGATACATCTCATCAGCTTTAATGAAATGATCTATACGAAGATGTCGAATAAGCATATCTATTGCATAGTGAAAACTCATTTTATCTCTATTTGAGCAAATCAATATTCTTTTCTCCAAATCATCTTTTTATTTTTTTCCTCCGTTGGTTTTGTTGGAAACTTTTCACTTGTGATTGACATTGTCATATTTTGCTGAAATTTCCATCATTAATAGCACTTGACCTTTTGCCATAGCTGATCTTTTCATGATTGCCTGCACTTTTCTTTTCCTGAATGGATGAGCAGTTGCGTCAAATATGCAGGATGTCTGGAGTAAAAGTTTCCTTCAACACAGAGAATATGCGTGATTCATTCTATCGAGCATCTGTTGACTCTGTTTTTAATATCTATAGCAGGTGAACTTTATACTGGTGCTCCTATAAATATTTGCTCTATAATATGATGAATCATGCCAAATTTCAAATTCTAGTTCTGGATTTTATTAATGTGATCACACTGAAATCTGTGGTGTTCATATGACTGTATTTGTAACTTATTTACAGGACTCCAATTAACCCTAACTCAGTTCTCATTAATGGTGAGAATGGTCCGAGTTTTCTTGCTGGACTCGCTGAGGACATTGGCATTGAGAATACTCGTGCTGCTAGGATAGTTTCGGCTGCTGTTGCTGCTAGAATGCGTTCATGCTTTTTACAGGCCTGGGTAAATACTTTTACAATTTCCACTGCATTCACTATATCAAATGCTTGTATCTTGTAATGCCTGGGGTAACTCTCACATTTTTGTTGCTAAAATCTTGCAATGGGAGAACTTACAAAGATGGAATTATGTGCAAGAATGTTGGTCTATTTTTCTTGAGTTAACTTATTTTTATCATGTTGGACAAAAAAATTTAGGATGATCTTTTAGCATGCTAACATATTTTGGGTTTGAACCGTGGCGAAGGCTTAGACAGTGTGTATATTTATATGTCTTAAATTTGGTAATTGATTCAAGAACCAGAGGTGTTGCTGAAGATCCTCCAGTTCCTTTCGCACCAAAGTAAAAAGAAGAGCGGTTAAAAGCCACCCAAAGAGTTTTTGCATCACTTAGCCACGGAGAAACTTTCTGCTCTTTTCTTTGATGTGTTTCCCCTGTAATTTATATGATTTGTTATACCATAAAGAGGATCTACTGAGTTAATTACATCTTACTATAGGCTTTAGTGATGCAAGACAGACATTCTGAAGCAGATGCGGAGTTGTTGAAGATCTGTCACGTTGTCCAGACATTTCCTCCGGACGAGTCGTCTGTATGTATTCTGAACCATCTTTGTAAACGGTTGTTTCTCAAATGTTCTTATGTTATCTTTGTTGATTCTCCAGCCTGAGATGGAGATGTTGACTCTAGGCTTGAAGAAACACTTGAAGGTAGAGCAGAGAGAATGTTTGATGAATATGTTCATTAGTGTCTGTGGTAAAGATAGTCATAGGACCGCTGCAGAAGCTCTTGGTTTGGTATGAAGCTCTTGGTTTGGTATGTCCTTAATCCCCTCTCTCTATTTTTCTCTCATCAAGCTGCTTCCTCCAAATATTGGCTTTTCATATTGTCAAATCCTTTGCGCCTCAAAATGTTCATTCTTGTTTATTAGTACACTTCCTCCAAATGTTCATACTCCATCTACATTTTCATCAACTTTAGCATTATTCATCAATTGCCTCATCCATCCAACAATTAATTAATTAATGTGTTCTTTCTTTTCTTTCTGGGAAAAGAATCAAGGTGAATCTTTGAACCATATAACTCTGAATTTAATTTACATTCAATTTTTTTAATAAATTCTTTTCTAAATTGTTTGAAATGGGCTTTGTTTTTCCTAATTTTAGTTGGAAATTGCAAAATTAATCTAAGAAGCTTAAAAAATTGGCCCGGAATACAATGTTTGAATGCAGGCCGATTACATCACAAAGAATGAAGCCTTAGAACGTTGTTTCTTACTTTTCAAACATAAATTATTGTGTTTACAGGTTTGTTGGGAGCCCGCACTGTTAAATGTGATCAATTGTGAGAGTTTAGGTGGGGTTTCTGTATGGTGCACATAAATCCTTTAGTTTTGCAAACCTGCACCATAATTTAATTCAATTTTTGAAAGCAGACTATAATATCTTCGAATATGATTTCATATTTTTCGTTGGAGCCCACCTTATTAAATGAGTTTAGTCTTTGAAATTTAAGCACGTAAGGATAATAATAGGGTGTTAGACGAGGTTTCTGTATTCTTAATTTTGGTGCACACAAATCCCCTCTGGAATTGCGAACATGGCTTGTAATTCAATCTTTGAAAGTAGACTATAAAGTCTTCGAACATCACTATTGTCATGGTTGTTTCGTTGGAGCCCACCTTGTTAAATGAGCTCAGTCTTCGAAGTCAAGACGTGTAAGATAATAAAAGGGTGTAAGATGGAGTTTCTGTATGCTTAATTTAGGTGCACACAAGTCCTCTGGAATTGCGAATATGGCCTGTAATTCAATCTTTGAAATTAGACTATAAACTTTTCGAACATGATTTCGTACTTTTCAAACATCACTTTTGTCCAGGTTATTTCGTTGGAGCTCACGTTGTTAAATGAGCTCAGTCATCAAAATCTAGTCTGGTTATTTTATTGGAGCCCACCTTGTTAAATGAGCTAAGTCATCAAAGTCTAGGCGCATAAGATAATAAAAGGGTGTTGGACGGAGTTTCTGTATCCTTAAATGCACACAAATTCTCTAACATTGCAAACTTCAAGAATCCAAGAAGAGAAACATGGCGCAATCATTCCTGTTGAACTTTGCTGCAGAGGAAGTGCTGAAAGTTGTGGTGAAGCTGGCGGCAGGGCTGCTCCGCCTGGCTGTGGGATTCAAGGAGGCTGCTCCGCCTGGCTGTGGGATTCAAGGAGGAACTCTCAAAGCTGAAGCACTCTTTACTCATGGCACAAGCCATTCTAAGGGATTTTGAAAGAAGGAAGACAAACCTTGAATCCCTGGAGCCATGCACGAAGAATCTTCGGGATATCGTCTTCGAAGTCGATATTTTACTCGATAAACTCGCTTATGAAGATGTTCGACGCAAAGTGGAAATAAAAAAAATATGAGATGGTAAGTAATTTCTTTTCATCCTCCAAAAATCTCCTTGCTTTTCGTCTCAAAATGGCAAATAAAATTGTAAATACTGCTAAAAGTTTGGATGCAAGTGTTCCTCCTCATTTGAGATGTCTTACTATAACATTCAATGAAGTTGAAATTGATCTTCACCAAATTTTTAAGGACTCATTTCTTGATGAAATTGAAGTTACCGGGAAGGAAGTTGAAGTTATTGGGAAGGAAGTTGAAGTTATTGGGAAGGAAGTTGAAGTTATTGGGATGAAAATTGAAATATCAAATATAGTGGATAAGCTGCTTGCCCTTGAGAGTCAGGAAACTCTAGTTGTTTTATCCATTGTTGGCACAGGTGGATCAGGAAAAACAACTCTGGTGAAGGAGGTTTTCCATCACGATATGATTAGGAAGAATTTCGATACAACCATATGAGTATGTGTGTCTCGTCCTTTTAAAATCAATCAAATTTTAAGAGCAATCGTGGGTTCCTTGAATCCTAAATTTGGTGGCTCGGACGAAAAGGAAGTCATTCTTCGGGAGCTCCAAAATCGGTTGAGTGACAAAAAGTATTTGCTTGTGCTTGATGATGTTTGGAATGAGGAACTCATTCTATGGAATGAGTTGAGGGCTTGTTTGCTAAACATCGGTCAAAAGGTTGGAAGTGGTATAGTTGTGACTACCAGAAGTGATAACGTTGCAAAAATTATGGAGACAAATTACCGACATCATTTGAGGCAGTTACCAGACGATCGTTGTTGGTCTTTATTTGAAAAATGTGCTTTTGGAAGTTATTTACCAATAATTTCTGTTGTCATTGGAGGACAACTTGTTAAAAAATTTGGTGGCATACCATTAATTGTAAAAGTGTTGGGAGGAAGGGTGAAATCATACCAGAATGATGAGGAATTGCAATCAATTTTGGAATATCTAGTGAGAATTGAATTACGAAAGGAAGATCTTATTTTATCCACAATCAAATTAAGCGTCAATTGTCTACCATCTACCTCATTGAAACAATGTTTTGCCTACTGTTCAAATTTTCCACCAAACTTTCGCTTCTACAAGGAAGCATTTGTTCAGATGTGGATAGCACAAGGGTTTATTCAACTACCCAATGGAAGCACTGCAACGATGGAGGATATTGGAGCAAGGTACTTCGATATTTTGTTGTCTCGCTCCTTGTTTCAAGATGTTGTCAGGGATAAGAGAGGAAAAATTAAACATTGTAAGATGCATGATCTAATATACGACGTTGCATGTGCTATTCCAAATGATCAAAATTTGAGAGGGGGCTTTGTAACAGATGAAAATTCTCAAGGTGATGAAGTTCTTTCGATCCGTCGAAGAAGAAGAACCGTTTATTGTTGTGAAAATTTACCATTTGCTAATCAAGATAAGATTACTAACTTCATCTACTTGGGCGTTTTGATTATTAGTTTTGAGTTCATAACTGAACTCCCAGATGGAATCGTTAAATTGAAGCAGTTGAGGTATCTTGACATTTGAGAGACGAGAACAAGTGAGCTCCCAAAATCTATTGTTTTGCTTTACAATCGGCAGACTTTGAAGCTTGGAAGGAAAACAAAGCTTCCTACAAAGTTGAGAAAGTTGGTCAACTTAAGGCATTTAGAATTTAATGTTTTTGATTTACATAAGCAAATGCCTAAACATTTAAGTCGAATGACTCAACTTCAAACACTTTCTGGTTTTATAGTTGAGAGTGATTACGGATATAAGATCGAGGAGCTTGGACCTTTAAAAGACCTTAAAGGTAAGTTAAGCCTTTTATATCTCGAGCGAGTGATTTGAATGTGTTGGAAGGGCTTCAACCACACAAAAACCTTCGAGCATTGGAGATTCGTGGCTTTGCAGGTGATCTTCTTCCCAATAGTATTTTTGTTGAAAACTTGGTTGAGCTACAACTAAACAGTTGTAACAAATGTGAAACTTTACTAATGCTGGGACAGTTGTCCAATCCTGAGGTTCTTAGAGTTAGTTGGCTAAAATGTGTAGAAAGTATTGGAGACGAGTTTTATGGGAATTATGACGACACTAGATCTTTATTTCCCAAATTGAAAACATTTCAAATTTCGCACATGGAGAGCTTAGAGCAATGGGAAGAACTTGCTTCTACTTCGAGTTGTATAGCTTTTTCTCATCTCGAAAGTTTAACCATTCGTTTTTGTCTCAAACTAGAGAATATTCCAAACATTTTTACAACACATAGCTAGATGTTGGAAGCTGACACTATCAATGCAAGGCTAGTTTCAAGCTTTCAAAGTTCTCTAAATCTTCGGTCTCTTCACATTTATGAATGTACAAGTTTGACAAAGCTACCAAATTGGTTAGAATGGTGTAGCTCACTCCAATATTTGTGGATATGCGACTTTGGTGATAGACATTTCCCCTCCAAATTTGCAAAATATGCAAAACTTGTCTACATTAAAAGTCGGAAAGTTTGATAATTTGCCAGAGGGGCTTGGCGATATTCAACACTTGAAAACGTTGATAGTTAAGGGGCCAATGGAGGGTTATGATTGGAGTTGATTCGTACCCTCCAGTTCACTTGAAGTTCTTAAGTTGCATGATACAGGAAGTAATAGTTTAACACAACTTCCTCGACAACTTGAGCTCCTCACTGCTTTAAGATCGTTGTATTTTGAGAGATTTAATGGCATTGAATCTTTGCCAGAATGGTTAGAAAACATTACATCTATGGAGACATTGTCATTATGTGAGTGCGGAAATTTGAAAAACTTGCCCTCAAAAGAAGCAATGTCAAATCTAACCCAATTGAATCACTTGATAGTGATGGGATGTTCTCAGCTTAAAGTCGGTGAAAGTGGTGTTGAACGGGAAAAAGTTTCCCATGACTTAGTCTCTCAATTGCTCTGACCTTCATTATCTAATATGCTTCAACGCCCTCTCCCCAACGCCTTGCCCGCAGCGTGTTTGTACCTTTCCAACAGCGCTCATTCTGAATATTTTCCATAAGGGATTTCTGCCATTCACAACAAATGTGCTCAATCTTGACAGTCTACACGCTTAACTCTTCCAACCTCATTTCAAACTTTTCAAACATCAATTATTGTCCTTCCTGTTCTGTTGGAGCCACCTTATTAAACGTGTTCAATCTTAACTCTAGACGCGTAACTTAATAAAAGAGTTTAGATAAGGTTTGTGTATGCTTCATTCTTTCTGGTGCACACAATTTTATGAAATTGTGAACTTTGAGAATCCAAGAACAAAAACATGTTGGACTTCCTAGATTGAAACAACTCACAGTGTTTCAGTGTTCCCTGCTTGATCTTAGTGAAGGGAGCGTTGAACATGCCAAAGTTTCTCATGTAGCCCGTATTCATATATTCTAAAACCATTATTTTTACATTTGTGTCTTTTCTTTGTACTTTTTTTTAGTATTGACATTAGCCTAAGTTAAATTATAATTTTATTCCATTGATTTTGTCACTATATTTACTATCGTTTTCATGGTTTGGTTTGAAAGCATAATCGACACTTTATTAACAATTCAATTCGATTTGATTTGATTTTTTTCTTATTTTGGTTTTGATTGTGTTTATAAAAGCTTCATTATTTGTTTATATCCTCTAATAATTTTCTTTATAATATTTTGATTGAAGTACTAAGCAGCGTGAACGTTCATGCTTTCATCTTATTAGAGTAACAAATACACGTATCATAAATGAATAATTCAAACTTGATTTCTTTAGACAAATCGAATAAAATAAGTGTGGAAGAAATCGTATGGAGTTTTGGTATAGATAGTGAAAGTGGCCAGAGAGCAAATTGGTCTATCATCACGAAGTTGGTAGCACTAAACCATAGTATTGATAGCCCATGTAGGACCTATGGTGCCGGGGAGAATAGAGGTTAGAGGGCATGGACTGCATGAAAGGTTAATGGAAGAGCCATAGCATAGCTCTGCTCATAGATCAAGGGATCAACAACCAATTTATTTGCCACCAACCGAATAAGAATAATATCCAACATAGCAACAGCTGTAGACCATGGATTAGACAAAAGCTTATGAAAGACAGAGTTGAAAGCAAAGTTGAAAGGCAAAGATGGATGAAATGACCTAAAAAGATAGCACAACTTAGATTAAATACGGTGAGCTGTTACCCACTCAACAATTTTCTTAAAAGTCGAGTTGTCCTCGATCATATCCCACTACTCACAGTAACATCATGTTATTTAGAGAGTTCGATTTTTAGATAGAATTTTTGTAATCATTTAACTAACGAGGCTTCGTTATGAAATTTTGAAAGTAAAAAATTTTGAATAGTTTGAGATGTGTTTTAGTTTTCTTATTAAATATAGTTTAAGTTTTCATAACGAAATAGTTAAATTTAATATTTTTAAGTCAGAGTGAGTCTACTTGTAATCCGTGAAAAGCTCATTTGTATTGCAAACACTAATAGGATTATAACATAAATTAAAAAAATGTAAAATTGGAGTTTTTGGTTCTTTTAAATTTGTATCTCATTCTCTCGTTCCAAATTTGTAATAAACTTTAAGCCATTGTTTTTTTTTATGAATTGTGAATTGTCTTTTAAATATAACCTTGTTTGACATATAGTATTTTTAAGTGTCTGTGCTTCAAATTCTTGTAACTTATTTATTGCTTGAAAATATTTTTTTTAGAAAATAAGAAAATCAAAAATCCAGCAAGAAACAAATTTATTTTTTTTATTTATTTTTTCTAAATATATCGCTTGGTTTGATTCCTGAAATTTATACTTACTATTCAAAAAGATAAAAGCGAAAATAAATAAAAATAAAATAAGAAAATTAAAAAAAAAAATTAAATCAATAAAGGCAACCATACAAAATAAATATTCAATCAAATTTATTACAAACCAAAATTTTAAGGAGTTATTGATATTTTTATAAAAGTTAGAGAGCTAAATAAAAATGAAAACAAATTAAAGGAATAATACATATATGGTTTTGAGTGATTAGTTTTTTAAAATATAAACAAAAACGATTATCCCGTTTTTTTCTAAATTGTTTAAAATGGGAAAATTGATCTAAAAAGCCTAAAAGCTTAGCCAGGAATGCATTCTTTGAATGCAGACCGACAGCATCACACAAAATAAAGTCTTCAAGCATCAATTATTTTATTCTCATTACTGTTCCTTTGGGGGCCACCTTGCTAAACGTGCTCAATGTTGATAGTTATCCGTCTAGACGCGAAGCATAATAAAAGGTGTTAGATTTATTCTGGTGCACACAAATCCTCCAGAATTGCAAACTTTGAGACTTTGAGAATCCAAGAAGAGAAGAGAAACATGGTGGAATTCCTGTGGACCTTTGCTGTACAGGAAGTGCTGAAGAAGACGGTGAAGCTGGCGGCTGAGCAGATCGGCTTAGCATGGGGATTCAAGGACGAACTCTCGAAGCTTAAGGAATATTTACTCGAGGCGCAAGCCATCCTAAATGATGTTGACAAAAATAAGGCAAACCTTGAAACCGTGACGCGATGGGTGAAGAAGCTTGAAGATATCGTCTTCGAAGCCGATAATTTACTCGATGATCTCGCTTATGAAGACGTTCGACGCAAAGTGGAAGATCAGGTGGTACGTAATTTCTTTTCACTTTCCAAAAATTCTCTTGCTTTTCGTCTCAAAATGGCAAATAAAATCACAACGGTTGCTAAAAAGTTGAATGAGCTAGTTTTTATAAAAACTCCTCCGAGATGTGTTGGAACAACATCAGATGAAGCTGAAATTGATCTTAACCAAACTCGAGAGACGGACTCATTTCCTGAGGAAATTGAGGTTATTGGAAGGGAAACTGAAGTATCAAATATAGTGGATAAGCTACTTGCCCTTGAGAGTCAAAAAACTCCAGTTGTTTTAACCATTGTTGGCACGGGTGGATTAGGAAAAACAACTCTAGTGAAGGAGGTTTACCATCATGATATGATAAGGAAGAATTTCGATACAACCATATGGGTATGTGTGTCTCATCCTTTTAAAATCAACAAAATTTTGAGAGCAATCGTGGGATCCTTGAAATCTAAATTTTGTAGCTTAGATGAAAAGGAAGGCATTCTTCAGGAACTCCAAAGTTTGTTGAGTGACAAAAAGTATTTTCTTGTGCTTGATGATATTTGGAATGAGGAATCCATTCTATGGAATGAGTTGAGGGCTTGTTTGTTAAAGATCAATCAAAATAAGGGAAATGCTATAGTTGTGACTACCCGTAGTGATAAAGTTGCAGAAATCATGGAGACAAATTATAGACATCATTTGAGGCAATTACCAGATGATCATTGTTGGTCTTTATTTGAAAAATGTGCCTTTGGAAGTAATTTACCGAGAATTCCTGATGTCATTCGAGGACAGCTTGTTAAAAAATTTGGTGGCATACCATTGGTTGTTAAAGTGTTGGGAGGAATGGTGAAATCATGCAAGAATGATGATGAATTGCAATCGACTTTGGAAAATATTGTGAGAACTGAATTACCAAAGGAAGATCTTATTTTATCCACAATCAAATTAAGTGTGGACCGTCTACCATCTTCCTCATTGAAACAATGTTTTGCCTATTGTTCAAATTTCCCACCAGACTTTCACTTCTACAAGGAAGCACTTGTTTGGATGTGGATAGCGCAAGGGTTTATTCAACTACCTAATGAATGCAATGTAACGATGGAGGATATTGGAGAGAGGTATTTCGATATGTTGTTGTCTCGCTCCTTGTTTCAAGATGTTGTCAAGGATAAGAGAGGAAAAATTGAATATTGTAAGATGCATGATCATATACATGAGGTCGCATGTGTTATTTCAAATGATAAAAATTTGAGAGAGGACCTTGTAACGGATGAAAAATATGAAGGTGGTGAAGTTCTTTCGATCCGTCAAAGAAGAAGAACAGTTTATTGTTGTAAAAATGCATCCTCTGATATGATCACCAGCTTCATCTACTTGCGCGTTTTAATTATTAATGATATGTCCATAACTGAATTGCCAGATACAATTGGTAAGTTGAAGCATTTGAGGTATCTTGACATTTCATGGTCTGGAATATACTATCTCCCAGAAACTATTGTTTTGCTCTACAATTTGCAAACTTTGAGGCTGAGATGGGGTACGAGGTTTCCTACAAAGTTGAGAAAGTTGGTGAAGTTAAGACATTTAGAATTTAATTTTTTTGATGGAATTAAGCAAATGCCTAAACATTTAAGTCGAATGACTCAACTTCAAACACTTTCTAGTTTTGTAGCTGGGAGTGACGACGGATGTAAGATTGAGGAGCTTGGACCTTTAAAATACCTTAAAGGTAATTTAAGCCTTTATAATCTCGAGCGAGTCAAAAGTAAAGAGGAGGCCATGACTGCAAATTTAGTAGAGAAGGAAAATATTTCTAAACTATATTTTGAATGGAGTACTCAAAGGGAAGAATGTAATGAAAGTGATTTGAATGTGTTGGAAGGGCTTCAACCACACAAAAACCTTCGAGCATTGGATATTAAGGGCTTTGCAGGTGAACTTCTTCCCAATAGTATTTTTGTTGAAAACTTGGTTGAGGTATATCTATGGGATTGCAAAAGATGTGAAACTTTACCAATGCTTGGACAGTTGTCCAAACTTAAGTTTCTTAAAATTAGCAAGTTAAGTGCAGTAAAAAGTATTGGAGACGAATTTTATGGGAATTATCGCGATAGTAGAACTTTGTTTCCGAAATTGGAAGAGTTTGAAATTTATCTCATGGAGAGTTTAGAGCAATGGGAAGAAATTGATACTCTCACTAATTGTTCAACTTTTCCTCATCTTAAAAGTTTAACCATTCTTTCTTGTCCCAAATTAATGAATATTCCAAACATTTTTGCAACCAATGGCCAAAGGTTGGAAGTTGACACTATTAATGCAAGGTTATTTTCAAGATTTCAAACTTCTCCAAAGCTTCAATCTCTACTCATTACAAATTGTACAAGTTTGATAAAGCTACCAATTTGGATAGAATTTTGTAGCTCACTCGAAGATTTGTGGATGGACAACTCTCGTGATGATATTTCCCCTCCAAATTTGAAAAATATCCAAAGCTTGTCTACATTAGAAATCAAAAACTTTGATAATTTGCCAAATGGGCTCGGTGGTATGCATAACTTGAAAAGGTTGGTGATTGAAGGGCCAATGGAGGGTTATGATTGGAGTCAATTCATATCCTTGAAGTCGCTTGAAGTTCTTCATTTACATGAAACAGGAAGTAATAGTGTAACACAACTTCCTCGACAACTTGAGCTCCTCACTGCTTTAAGATGGTTGCATATTGAGGGATTTAATGACATTGAATCTTTACCCGAATGGTTGGCAAACATTAAAGCTTTGGAGAAATTAGAAGTAGGTATGTGCAGAAATTTGAAAAGCTTACCCTCGAAAGAAGCCATGTCAAATCTAACTAAATTGAATTATTTGTCAGTATTTGATTGTTCCCAGCTTGATATTGGTGAAGGTGGTGTTGAACGTGAAAAAGTTTCCCATATACCCAAAGTTTCTTTCACAATAAGAAGATTTTGACGATTATCCCTACCCGGTACTTAGCCCAAAATCCATAGAGAATATCAAAGAGAGGAATTGATCTATGTCTAGAACAACTATTTTATGGATTGTAATATTTTTATTAGTTATATTTGATGTATTTGAAGAATTGTATTAAATTTGATATTGTATTAATTAGTTACTAGGGCTTTGTTGATTCAACAATTTTGTTACTCTCCTTCCTCTCACTCTTCGCCCTTTCCCTTTTGGGATCCTCTTCCTTTCTCGCCTCCTGGAATCAACAAGATGACTCCCCTTCTTCTTGGAACTTTATTAAATACAAATGAGATAATCTTAAAGGGTTACTACTGGACAGTTCAAACTCCATCTCTTGCTAATGGAGAACAGCAGATACCTCCAAATGGTGTACATTGCCCCAGAACTAGCTCACATTTGCCCCAGAACTAGCTCACCAGAGAACGTACACAGGTTCAGGGTGCTGATTCTGGAGATCGTGACAAGAAGAAGGCCGGTGGAGTATGGAGAAGACCATGTGAGCAGTTGCTTCTGCGCCTTTGGAGGATTGATCTGAATTAACTTAACTTTGTAATTTCGAGTTGTCACAGATGATGAACAAATCGTAAGAAATTCACAATATCAACCTATTTTTTATTTTCCTCCAAAAAAGCGAGCTAACCAACCAAAACTAACTTAACTGATTTGAGATCCATCAAAAAAAATTATGATAAAAATCACGTAGAGCTATCCCTAATCCTTGAGAGCACGTTTATGGAGCAAATCGAACCGATGATATTTGATTGAATTAAAAATAGATTACAGCAACTCTACTACTCATCAAAATAAAATCTCTTGTTTTACTCTTCCCAATTTCACATGCATAACAAAACCCAAAAAAAAAAAAAAAAAAAAAATAGACGCTGCGAAGAGAATAGATCTTCAAAAGCATCGAAAGTTAATTGTCATTCAAAGCCTTCATCAAATGAAGTCTGTTGAAACTCTGTCCCGCAACCCTGAAATTTTTCAATACACAAAATCATTATTCAACTCTCGGGGCATTGAACAAGAATGTTAGGTTCTCCAAGATAATGATAAGAGTGAATGAAGTTGATACTCTCACTAATTGTACAACTTTTCCCCGTCTTAAAAAGTTAAGCATTCGTTCTTGTATCAAACTAAGGAATATTCCAAACATTTTTGCAACCAATGGGCAGAGGTTGGAAGTTGACATGGTTAATGCAAGGTTATTTTCAAGCTTTCAAAGCTCTCCAAAGCTTCGATCTCTACACATTACAGATTGTACAAGTTTGATAAGGCTACCAAACTGGTTAGAGTTTTGTAGCTCACTTGAAGATTAGGAGATAGGCAACTTTGGTGATAATATTTCCCCTCCAAATTTGCAAAATATCGGAAACTTGTCTACATTAGGAATCAAAAACTTTGATAATTTGTCAAAGGGGCTTGGTGGTATCCATGACTTGAAAAAATTGGTAGTTGAAGGGTCAATGAAGGGTTATGATTGGAGTCGACTCATACCCTTAAATTCGCTTGAAGATCTTAAATTGTTGAAAACAGGAACTAATAATTTAACACAACTTCCTCGACAACTTGAACTCCTCTCTGCTTTAAGATCATTGTGTATTGAGACATTGAAATTATTTCAGTGCAAAAATTTGAAAAACTTACCTCGGAAAGAAGTCATGTCAAATCTAACATCATACCTAAAATATGGCTTTGATTATATATATATATATATATTTATTTATTATTATTTTTTTTTTTTAGAGTATTACACCATTTAGAATATATGGCGAAGATTTAAATACGTAGATTTTAAAAAAAAAATAGTAACACCGTAATTAGTTTAGATATTGATACACAATTAGTTAGCATAATTAATAACAACTAACATCATACCTAAAATATGGCTTTGATTAAAAGTTAAGATTAATTTGGAATTAGTTTTTTTTTTTTTAAATTTGTCTAAAAATATTAGTTTGTTATTTTCAATATTGAATAAATTGTAAATGTATAAAAAAAAACATTTCACCATATCCCTAAATGGACACTCTTAATGGTTGCAATGTTTAAGTGTAATTGAGAGGTTTGCGAGTTTTTACGATCTCTACTACACGGTTCTTCATTTATTCTTCAATTTATGTTTGTTTGTTGCTGTTATTTGGAAATTTTAACTTCGTCGATGATAAATTGATATGTTTTTAACCTTTGCCTTTTCTACGACTGATTAGGTTTACGGTGAGTTGAGATTTGAGTTTATTTTGCAAGTTTTCGTCCTCGTTATCGCACTCTGAAAACTCGATTCGATCATTATTTTGAAAAATTCTCGTAGTGTGTATTACCTCTTTGAATACGCGGTTGCAAATTAAAAACCTATTTTCTCTCTGTTCGAGCAAATCATTACCAACTCAACAATCCTTTTAAAAGTCAAAGGGAGTTTGGCTTTTAGAGGAAATTACCATAATCATTTAACCGATGAGACCTAGTCTCAAAAGTTTTATTTTATTATTATTATTTTTTTTTTTTTTTTTTTTAATGATTCGAATAGAAATGTATTAAATTTAGTATTTTTATAATGTGTCCTTTGTAATCGTGAAAAGCTCATTATATAGCCCACACCAATAGGAATATAGTATTATTAAAAAAATGTTTTTCTCATACAAGTTGGTTGTATATTGGCCGTTCATTTTCTCTCCATTTGAACTAATCAAATATTTTAAACCAATATTTTAAAGTGAATGTCTCTCCATTGTGTCCTAACTTTTTGGCTCGACTTACATTTGGTCAAATCTAAATGCTTAAAAGATAATAGAGGTTCTAACCACTTGTTAGGATAAAAATGTCATCATAGCCCGCAAATAGGTTGTTTTTTTAATATGTTTATACTCGTCAGATTCTTTTTTTTTTTTTTTTTTTTTTCAAGTGATAGCGGATTGTTGGTCAAGGTGGGGAGCATTTGGAAGTTACGCAGAAGAGGGTCATCTCGGGCCATCATTCCTGTATATTGGCGTTTTTGGTTCTTTTAGATTTGTATCTCATTCCTTGATTCCCATTTTGTAATAAATTTGAACATTTGTCTCTTAAATATAACGTTGTTTGATTTTAAATTGCAGAGTTTTATCGTATTTTTTAGCGTTAGCCCACGTCACTGATCGTGTTTTGAAGTCTCGAAAATGAGGCGGTGACATTTGTGTTTTTTTTTTTTAATTATTTTTAACTGGTATGACTCACCGATTCTTTAAAAATTTTGAATTTTCATATTTTTTTCAAGTAATGATAACTGAAGCTTGAAAATATTCTTTAAAATCAATAAACATGGATCAATATTTAGTTTGAACAAAGATGAAAATTTGTTTGAGAACCAATTAACATGCCTCATAAAATTAAGTTAGAAAGAGGTTCGTGATTCAACTCTAGTTAAGAACGAGCAAGACTGGGAGCTACAAATGGGTTTGTTTAGATGATTTAAACATAGAGAGAAGGAGAAAAATAAAAAAAATTGGAGAGTGAATAATTAAAATAAGATGGGAGATAAAGAATGAGAATTTGAAGAACACCCAACCACTCTTTTAGTGTAAAGATGTAAGAAATAACAAATGTATTAAACAAAGACCACAGACTACGTTGGACAATGAAGTCTTCCACACTTTTCAAACATCAATTATTGTGTGGTCGACCAACGATCTAGACGCGTGACATAATAAAAAGGTGTTTTATGAGGATTCTGTATGCTTCATTTTGGTGCACACAAATCCTCTAAAATTGCAAACTTTGAGAATTCAAGAACAAAAACATGACGGAATTTTTGTGGACCTTTGCAGTACAGGAATTGTTGAAGAAGACGGTGAAGCTGGCCGCTGAGCAGATCGGCCTGGCATGGGGATTCAAGAAGGAACTCTCAAAGCTGAAGGACTCTTTACTCATGGCACAAGCCATCCTAAGGGATGTTAACAGAGTGAAGGCCGACCTTGACTCCCTTAAGCTATGGGTGAAGAAGCTTGAAGATATCATCTTTGAAGCCGATATTTTACTTGATGACCTCGCTTATGAAGATGGTCGACGAAGGGCTGAATCTGGAAATGGTGTGATGGTACGTAGTTTCTTTTCATTCTCCAAAAATCCCCTTGCTTTTCGTCTCAAAATGGCAAATAAAATCACAAATGTCGCTAAAAAGTTGGATGAGCTAGTTTTTATAAAAACTCCTCCGAGATGTGTTGGAACAACATCAAATGAAGCTGAAATTGATCTTAACCAAGTTCGAGAGACGGACTCCTTTCTTGATGAAATTGGAATTATTGGGAGGGAAACTGAAGTATCATATATAGTAGATAAGCTAGTTGTTTTACCCATTGTTGGTACGGGTGGATTAGGAAAAACAACTCTGGTGAAGGAGGTTTTCCATCATGATATGGTAAGGAAGAATTTCGATATATTTATATGGGTCTGTGTGTCTCATCCTTTTAAAATCAATAAAATTTTAAGAGCAATCAGAGGATCCTTGAATCCTACATTTGGTGGCTCAGATGAAAGGGAAGTCATTCTTCAAGAGCTCCAAAAGTTATTGAGTGGCAAAATGTATTTTCTTGTGCTGGATGATGTTTGGAATGAAGAATCCATTCTATGGAATGAGTTGCAGGCTTGTTTGCTAAAAATCAATCAAAATAAGGGAAATGCTATAGTTGTGACTAACCGAAGTGATAAAGTTGCAGAAATTATGGAGACAAATGACATACATCATTTGAGTCAGTTACCAGATGATCATTGTTGGTCTTTATTTCAAAAATGTGCCTTTGGAAGTAATTTACCAATAATTCCTGATGTCATTCGAGGACAGCTTGTTAAAAAATTTGGTGGCATACCATTGGTTGTGAAAGTGTTGGGAGGAATGGTGAATTCGTGCAAGAAGGACGAGGGATTGCAATTGACTTTGGAAAACCTAGTGAGAATTGCATTACCAAAGGAAGATCTTATTTTATCCACAATCAAATTAAGCATCGACCGTCTGCCATCTTCCTCATTAAAACAATGTTTTGCCTACTGTTCAAATTTCCCACCCGACTTTTTCTTCCGTAAAAAAGAACTTGTTCTAATGTGGATAGCACAAGGGTTTATTCAACTACCCAATGGAAGCAATGTAACGATGGAAGATATTGGAGCGAGGTATTTTGATATTTTGTTGTCTCACTCCTTGTTTCAAGATATTGTCAAGGACAATAGAGGAAAGATGATAGGTTGTAAGATGCATGATCATATACATGAGGTCGCATGTGCTATTTCAAATGATCAAAGTTTGAGAAGGCACCTTATAATGGATGGAAAATCTGTAGGGGATGAAGTTCTTTTGATCTGTCAAAGAAGAAGAACAGTTTGTTGTTCTGAAAGTCTACCTTTTGATAATCAAGACACGATCACCAACTTCATCTACTTGCGGGTTTTAATTATTCGTTATAGGCTCATAACTGAATTGTCAGATACTATCGCTCAATTGAAGCATTTGAAGTACCTTGACATTTCAAATTCTGGAATAAGTGAGCTCCCAAAGTCTATTGGTTTGCTTTACAATTTGCAGATTTTGAAACTTAGATGGGATATAAAGCTTCCTACCACTTTTACAACATTGGTCAACTTAAGGCATTTAGAATTTGATTTTGATTATAATAATCAAATTAAGGAAATGTCTAAACATTTAAGTCGAATGACTCAACTTCAAACACTTCCTGATTTCATAATCGGGTACGATCATGGACGTAAAATTGAGGAGCTTGGACCTTTGAAAGACCTTAAAGGTAAATTAAGCCTTTTTTTTCTTGAGCGAGTCAAAAGTAAACAGGAGGCTATGGCTGCAAATTTAGTAGAGAAGGAAAATATGTCTGAACTAAATTTTGCATGGAGTATTGAAAGAGAAGAATGTAATGGCGGTGATTTGAATGTGTTGGAAGCGCTTCAACCACACAAAAATCTTCGATCATTGAGTATTTCTTACTTTGCAGGACAACTTCTACCCAATGGTGTTTTTGTTGAAAACTTGGTTGAGATACAGCTATGGCGTTGCGAAAGATGTGAAACTTTACCAATGCTGGGACAGTTGTCCAAACTTAAGGTTCTTCAAATGCATAGTTTAAGTGGTGTAAAAAGTATTGGAGATGAATTTTATGGGAATTATTGCGAAAGTAGAACTTTATTCCCTAAATTGAAAAGACTTTATGTGTGGAAAATGGACAATTTAGAGCAATGGAAAGAAATCGCCGCTCTATCGAATTGTACAACTTTTCCTCATCTCGAAAACTTAACCATTGGTGTTTGTCTCAAACTAACGAGTATTCCAAATATTCTTGTAACTCATAGCCAGAAATTGGAAGTTGACACGGGTAATGCAGGGTTGTATTCAAACTTGCAAAGTCCTCCACAGCTTCAATCTCTATCCATTAGTTGTTGTAAATGTTTGATAAAGCTACCAAATTGGTTAGAGTTTTGTAGCTCACTTGAAGATTTGTGGATAGACAACTCTCGTGATGATATTTCCCCTCCAAATTTGCAAAATATGCAAAACTTGTCTTCATTAGGACTCGAAAACTTTCATAATTTGCCAGAGGGGCTTGATGGTATTCATAACTTGAAAAAGTTGGTAGTTAAAGGGCCAATGGAGGGTTATGATTGGAGTCGATTCATACCCTCCAATTCACTTGAAGTTCTTGAGTTGCATGAAACAGGAACTAACAGTTTAACACAAATTCCTCGACAACTTGAGCACCTCACTGCTTTAAGATCGTTAATTATTGAGAGTTTTAATGACGTTGAATCTTTACCCGAATGGTTGGGAAACATTACATCTTTGAAGACATTGAAATTAAGTCAGTGTAGAAATTTGAATAGCTTACCCTCGAAAGAAGCCATGTCAAATCTGACTAACTTGGCAGTAGTCAGATGTTCTCAGCTTAAAATGGATGAAGGTGGTGTTGAACGGGAAAAGGTTTCTCATGTACCCTATGTGTGGGTAGAATGAAACAACTATTTTATGCTTGTTTCTTTTGATTGATATTTTTTTATTAGTTGTATTTGAAGAATTGTATTAATTTTGATATTATATTAATTAGTTACTACGGCTTTCTTTCTTGATTCAACAATTTTGTTACTCTCCTTCCTCTCATTCTTCGCCCTTTCCCTATTTTAATCCCTCTAGACTCGTTACGTAATAAAAGGGTTTAGATAAGGTTTGTGTATGCTTCATTCTTTTTAGTGCACACAATTTTTGAAATGGCAAACTTTGAGAATCCTGGAACAAAAATATGTTGGATTTCCTAGATTAAAACGATTCACAGTGTTTCAATGTTCCCCGCTTGAACTAAGTAAAGAGAGCATTGAACATACCAAAGTTTCTCATGTAGCCCGTATTCATATATTCTAAAACCATTATTTTTACATTTGTTTCTTTTCTTTGTACTTTTTTTTTTTTTTAGTATTTAGGTTAGTCTAAGTTAAATTATAATTTTATTCCATTGATTTTATCCCTATATTTACTATCGTTTTCACGGTTAGGTTTCAAAGCATACTCGCCACTCCATTAACAATTCAATTCAATTTTATTTTATTTTTTCACTCTTATTTTGGTTTTGGCTGTGTTTATAAAAGCTTCATTATTTGTTTATATCCTCTAATGATACTCTTTATACACTTTGATTGAAGTACTAAGCAGTGTGAACGTTCATAATTTCATCTTATTAGAGTAACAAAAACACATATCATAAATGAATAATTCAAACTTGATTTCTTTAGACAAATCGAATAAAATAAGTATGGAGGAAGTCGTATAGAATTTTGGTATAGATGGTGGAAGTGCCAGCAAGCAAATTATTCTATCATCGCCAAGTTGGTAGCACTAAACCATAGTATTGATACCCCATGTAGGACCTATGGTGCCTGGGAGAATAGAGGGCAAGGGCTGCATGAAAGGTTAAAGGAAGAGCCATAGCATAACCCTTCTCGAAGATAAGGGGATCAACAGCCAATTTCTTCGCCACCAACCGAATAAGAATAATATCCAACATAGAGATTGGAGCAGCGATAGCGGTGGGCCATGGATTAGACAAGAGCTTATGAAAGGCAAAGTTGAAATGCAAAGATGCTGGATGACCTAAAAAGATAAGCACTTATTCGCTCAACAATTTTCTTAAAAGTCGAGTTGTCCTCGATCACACCCCACTACTCACAGGAACATTATGTCATTGAGAGAGTTCGATTTTTAGAGAGAATCTCAGTAATCATTTAACTAACGAGGCTTCTTTCTGAAATTTTGAAACTAAAAAATTTTCAATAGTTTAAAATGTGTTTTAGCTGACCATTCATTTTCTCTTTTGTCTCAACCAATCAAATCAAAATGGAATATAAAAAAGCCTAAAAGCTCAGCAGGAATACATTCTTCGAATGCAGACCGACAGCATCACAAAAAATAAAGTCTTCAAGCATCAATTATTTTATTCTCATTACTGTTCCTTTGGAGGCCACCTTGCTAAACCTGCTCAATCTTGATAGTCAGTCTAGATGTTAGATTCATTCGGGTGCACACAAATCCTGTGGAATTGCGAACTTTGAGAATTCAAGAAGAGAAGAGAAACATGGCGGAATTCCTGTGGACCTTTGCTGTACAGGAATCGTTGAAGAAGACGGTGATTATGGCGGCTGAGCAGATCGGCCTGGCATGGGGATTCCAGGAGGAACTCTCTAAGCTGGAGGAAGCTTTATCCAGGGCACGAGCCATCCTAAGGAATGTTGACAGAACGAAGGCAGACCATGAATACCTCAACCTATGGGTGAAGAAGCTTGAAGATATTGTCTTTGAAGCTGATAATTTACTCGATGAGCTCGCTTATGAAGATGTTCGACGCAAAGTGGAAATCGAAACGGTAAGCATCATTTCATTCTCCACATTTTATATCAAAATGGCAAATAAAATCCCAACGGTTGCTAAAAAGTTACAAGAGTTCATTTCCACAAATCCTCCTCCGCTATGTGTTGCTACAACATCCAATGAAGCTGAAATTGATCTTAACCAAACTCGAGAGACGGACTCATTTCCTGAGGAAATTGAGTTCATTGGGAGGAAAACGGAAGTATCATATATAGTGGATAAGCTACTTGCCCTTGAGAGTCAGAAACCTCTAGTTGTTTTAACCATTGTTGGCACAGGTGGATTAGGAAAAACAACTCTGGTGAAGAAAGTTTTCCATCATGATATGATAAGGAAGAATTTCGATACAACCATATGGGTATGTGTATCTCATCCTTTTAAAATCAACAAAATTTTGAGAGCAATCGTGGGATCCTTTAATCCTACATTTGGTGGCTCGGATGAAAGGGAAGTCATTCTTCGGGAGCTCCAAAATTTGTTGAGTGCCAAAAAGTATTTGCTTGTGCTTGATGATGTTTGGAACGAGGAACCCATTCTATGGAACGAGTTGAGGGCATGTTTGGTAAAGATCAATCAAAAGGTTGGAAGTGCTATAGTTGTGACTACCCGGAGTGGTAAAGTTGCAGAAATTATGGAGACAGATTACATACATCATTTGAGGCAGTTACCAGATGATGATTGTTGGGCTTTATTTCAAAAATGTGTCTTTGGAAGTGATATACCAATAATTCCTGATGTCATTCGAGGACAACTTGTTAAAAAATTTGGTGGCATACCATTGGTTGTGAAAGTGTTGGGAGGAATGGTGAAATCATGCAAGAACGATGAGGAATTGCAATCGACTTTGGAAAATCTAGTGAGAATTGAATTACCAAAGGAAGATCTTATTTTATTCACAATCAAATTAAGCGTGGACCGTCTACCGTCTTCCTCATTGAAACAATGTTTTGCTTATTGTTCAAATTTTCCACCAGACTTTCACTTCTACAAGGAAGCACTTGTTCGGATGTGGATAGCGCAAGGGTTTATTCAACTACCTAATGAATGCAATGTAACGATGGAGGATATTGGAGAGAGGTATTTCGATACGTTGTTGTCTCGCTCCTTGTTTCAAGATGTTGAAAAGGATTATAGAGGAAAAATTGAATATTGTAAGATGCATGATCATATACATGAGGTCGCATGTGCTATTTCAAATGATAAAAATTTGAGAGAGGATCTTGTAACGGATGAAAAATATGAAGGTGGTGAAGTTCTTTCGATCTGTCAAAGAAGAACAGTTTATTGTTGTGAAAAAATAGCATTTGATATGATCACCAAGTTCATCTACTTGCGTGTTTTAATTATGGATCATGTGTTCATAACTGAATTGCCAGATACAATTGGTAAGTTGAAGCATTTGAGGTATCTTGATATTTCAGGGTGTGGAATAAGTAATCTCCCAGAATCTATTGTTTTGCTCTACAATTTGCAAACTTTGAAGCTTGACGAGTGTATAAAGCTTCCCACAGAGTTGACAAAGTTGGTGAACTTAAGGCATTTAGAGTTTGATTGGTATGATATAAATCCTAAGCAAATGCCTAAACATTTAAGTCGAATGACTCAACTTCAAACACTTTCTAGTTTTATAGTTGGGTGTGATGACGGATGTAAGATCGAGGAGCTTGGACCCTTAAAAAACCTTAAAGGCGATTTCAACTTGTTATATCTCGAGCGAGTCAAAAGTAAAGAGGAGGCCATGACTGCAAATTTAGTAGAAAAGGAAAATATTTCTCAACTATGTTTTAAATGGAGTATTGAAAGGGAAGAATGTAACGACAATGATTTGAATGTGTTGGAAGGGCTTCAACCACACAAAAACCTTCGACAATTGAGAATTCAAAATTTTCCCGGTAAACTTCTACCCAACGGTATTTTTGTTGACAACTTGGTTGAGATAAATCTACTCGAGTGCACAAAATGTGAAACTTTACCGATGCTCGGACAGTTGTCTAAACTTAAGGCTCTTCAAATTACCAAGTTGAGTGCACTAAAAAGTATTGGAGACGAATTTTATGGAAATTATCGCGACAGCAGAACTTTATTTCCTAAATTGAAAGCATTTCATATTTGGTTCATGGACAGTTTAGAGCAATGGGAAGAAGTTGATACTCTGACGAATTGTACAACTTTTCCTCATCTCGAAAGTTTAATCATTCGTTATTGTCTCAAACTAACGAATATTCCAAACATTTTTGCAACTCATGGCCAGAGGTTGGAAGTTGACACTACGAATGCAAGGTTATTTTCAAGCTTTCAAACTCCTCCAAAGCTTCGATCTCTACACATTACAAATTGTACAAGTTTGATAAAGCTACCAAACTGGTTAGAGTTTTGTAGCTCACTTGAAGATTTGGAGATAGACAACTTTTGTGATGATATTTCCCTTCCAAATTTGCAAAATATCCGAAACTTGTCTACGTTAGAAATCAAAAAGTTCGAAAATTTGCCAAAGGGGCTTGGTGGTATGCATAACTTGAAAAAATTGGTGGTTGAAGGGCCAATGAAGGATTATGATTGGAGTCGATTCGTACCCTTAAATTCGCTTGAAGAGCTTGTATTGTCGGAAACAAGAACTAATAGTTTAACACAACTTCCTCGACAACTTGAACTCCTGCCTGCTTTAAAATATTTGCATATTGAGAATTTTGATGGCGTTGAATCTTTGCCGGAATGGTTGGGAAACGTTATATCTTTGGAGACATTATCATTACGTGAGTGCAGAAATTTGAAAAACTTGCCTTCCAAAGAAGCACTGTCAAATTTAACTAAATTGAATCGCTTGTTAGTATACGGTCGTTCCCAGATTGATGCGGTTGAACGGGAAAGAGTTTTCCATGAAACCGGTATCCATGTGTCCCGTGTCGGCGTTCCACTGTGGAATTCCTAGGTCAGTTGGTGGTATTCAGCTTCGTCGTGGTCTTTCTGGTTAGGGTTTTTAATTGGGATCGGATCTCGTTTTGGTAACCAATTTAGTCCCCTATCCATGATGACTTCAATGGCTCTGACTGATGTTTCAGATGAAGTTTCGAGGAATGGGGCTTGGGTTGGAGATAGATTGCCAAAATGGTGGCCGCCGGCAGTTCCTAGACGGATTTCCACGGCGAATAGGCAGGGATATCAGATAGAAGCTGACAGATTAGTACGAGGTTAGTGCACAAAGAATTCTTATAATGTACAAATTTCACATTGCCATTACGTTATACTCTTGATTGCAATTTGAAGCTGAACTTACCCTCTTCATTTCCAGCCCTCGTGGACAGTAGAATGAGCTTACCCTCTTAATATATCTTAATTTCCAGCCCTCACATAGTTTTATGGGCTTTGTTTTTTCCTAATTTTATTTGGAAATTGCAAAATTAATCTAAGGAGCTTAAAAAAATTGGCCCGGAATACAATGTTTGAATGCAGGCCGATTACATCACAAAAAATGAAGCCTTAGAACGTTGTTTCTTACTTTTCAAACGTCAATTATTGTGTTTACAGGTTTGTTGGAGCCCGCACTGTTAAATGTGATCAATTGTGAGAGTTTAGGTGGGGTTTCTGTATGGTGCACATAAATCCTTTAGAATTGCAAACCTGCACCATAATTTAATTCAATTTTTGGAAGCAGACTATAATATCTTCGAATATGATTTCATATTTTTCGATGGAGTCCACCTTGTTAAATGAGCTCAGTCTTCGAAGTCAAGACGCGTAAGATAATAAAAGGGTGTAAGATGGAGTTTCTGTATGCTTAATTTTGGTGCACACAAATCCTCTGGAATTGCGAATATGGCCTGTAATTCAATCTTTGAAATCAGAGTATAGACTTTTCGAACATGATTTCATACTTTTCAAACATCACTTTTGTCCGGGTTATTTGGTTGGAGCTCACCTTGTTAAATGAGCTTAGTCATCAAAATCTAGCCTGGTTATTTTGTTGGAGCCCAAAGTCCGTGTATCCTAGAACAACTATATTTTATGCCTGTTTCTTTTGATTGTAATATTTTTATTAGTTGTATTTGAAGAATTGTATTAAATTTGATATTATATTAATTAGTTACTAGGGCTTTGTTGATTCAACAATTTTGTTATTCTCATTCTTCGCCCTTTCCCTTTTGGGATCCTCTTCCTTTCTCGCCTCCTGGAATCAACGGGATGACTCCCCTTCTTGGAACTTCATTCATTAAATACAAATGTGATCAGCTTAAAAGGGTTACTATTGGACACTTCAAACTCATCTCTTGCTAATGGAGAACAACAGATTCCAAATGGTGTACGAGAAATGTGACGTACACGGGTTCGGGGTGATGATTCTGGAGATCGTGACAGGAAGAAGGCCGGTGGAGTATGGAGAAGACCATGTGAGCAGTTACTTCTGCGCCTTTGGAGGATTGATCTGAATTAACTTAACTTTGTAATTTCGAGTTGTCACAGATGATGAACAAATCGTAAGAAATTCACAACGTCTATATTCCAACCTATTTTTTATTTTCCTCCGAAAAAGCAAGCTAACCAACCAAAACTAACTTGACTGATTTAAGATCCATCGAAAAAAATTATGATAAAAATCACGTAGAGCTGTCCCTAATCTTTGAGAGCACGTTTATGGAGCAAATCGAAACGACGATATTTGATTAAATTAAAAATAGATTACAGCAACTCTACGACTCATATCAAAATAAAATCTCTTGTTTTACTCTTCCCAATTTCACATGCATAACAAAACAAAAAAAAAAAAAAAAAAAAAAAAAAAAAAAAAATAGACGCTGCGAAGAGAATAGATCTTCAAAAGCGTCAGAAAGTTAATTGTCATGTAAAGCCTTCATCAAATGAAGTCTGTTGAAACTCTGTCCCGCAACCCTGAAATTTTTCAAGACACAAAATCATCATTCAATTCTCAGGGCATTGAACAAGAATATTAGGTTCTCCAAGATAATGATAAGAGGAGTGAATGAAATTATTCATTTTTGGACAATAAGATTGGTAGTAGTAGGTAGCATCATACCCATTGATTTGGTTGCAGTAGTTTCCTATTTGATTGGTTATGAGATAGCTATCCAAACGTGATGGCTCAGGGAGTGGTTTAAAGATGGGGTTCGCAGGATCCTCCTCAGGGAGAGGTTCTTCTCCTGCTGCCTTCCTCGCCATGTTCTCAGCCCTGCAAAACACATTCCATAACTTTGTGAACGTGCAATTTATGTTGATGTGCAAATATATCTTACAACCGTTTTCGTAAAAATCCAAGTAACAATTCCCAACCATGATCATTGATGCAACAGAAATGCACACGAATATTAAAAAATATACGTTTTAAATGAGCTAAATGGATTCACCTTCTCTTCTGAAGCCATGCTTGCTGCTGAGCTTGCTGACGGGTCAGACTCCGATAATAGAATTGAAACTGGAAAAGAATATTGAATTATATTGTGCCACAACCAATCGTACAACAGAAACTAGAGAAAGATTGAATTGTATAGTGCACATAACCATCATTAAAAAAAAAAAAAAAACAGAAACTTCAATAAAGGGCACGAACCTTCTGCTGCTCCACCGACAAATCATCCATACATTCAATAAGAAATTCCACATTCCTCTCCATAAATGGATTAGTTGAAAGTTGTAGGCGGTCATAATCACACTGAAATAGCAATGATGTTATCAATAAAGACGAAAACAGAAGATACAATCTAGATCACCTACTTTTAAGAAAAGGACCGACAAATGATATTTTACCTGGGTGACTGGAGAGTCAGCTTCAAGCTCAGTCATAAAAGCACTAATGAGGGCTGAATTTGAAACTTTTATCTATAAAGACACGAGATAGGATAGAGATTTGGTTACAATGTCTACTCAGAAAGTTTGTCAACCTAAAATGACTTTTGAGCAATCATCAATAAGACAGCAACAGGGTCCAACAACGGATTGAGGAAAAAATAAGATAGAAACGAGATTTAAACCACAGAAAAAACAACAAACAAAAAACATAACATAATCATTCGATTAACTTCTATAATAATGTTAAAAAAATGAATAGATACAGGCCCAAGTGACTTACAGGTATTTCCTCAAAAATATCAACCCATGAGAAATTCTTCTCCCTCAACCTGTTGCAGCAATACAAATAAATTTTAATAAGCAACTTTACTTAAAAGAATAAAGCAAAAGAATTACGTACTTCTCTCCTGTAAAGTTGTTACTGCGGTAAAGCTCCATAAAAGAATCTGAAAGCTTCAATGCCTTGAGAGCTAAGACGCCTTGATTAGACCTTGATGGGTCATAAATAATGCAGACACACCGCCTGATATTTTCCTGCAAAGTTATGTTTTAATAGGATGACCTACCCTATAAAAGTGAAACCTTGAAGAAGGAAAATGAAAATAATGTGCCATAGGGTAGAAAAAAGTAGCCTCATTGCTGGTGTCCTCAAAGAAGGAAAATAAAATCTGGGTAATTGGGTAAATGCTAGCTTCAAAGATAAGATTCCTCATACAGAATATATATCAAATACACTTTCTTTGTTTTGGTACTTATCATTTACTACACTTCTTCCATCTTAACCTTCATCCTTGAATTCAATTATCCAGGTAAAGATTCCTTACTTATCTTTATGGTTGAAACAAAATAATTCCGGCCTTGCAAAGGCAGATCTTCCTTATCTCCTTCTATACTCAAGAAGGAAGCAAGGCAATGGAAGAAGCCTTCTTCCTCCAACTTGTCACAAGAATTTCCACAACAGATCAAAACAGCAAATAAAATAGCCAGACACAGAAAGAAAAGAGATTCAAAAACTGTGTAGTTGACCAAAATTTCACATTTAACGCATATGAACACATATAACGCCTTAAAATTTGAAGTTCTCAATTTTTGAGTTAACGAATATATATAAAGTGGAACTTAGTAACCATGAATAGAGAAATCATTGCAAGAATTCTATAAAGAACAACATATAAATAAGAGAGTGACTAAACTAATACCTGATAATTCATAAAGGTCTCAATCAACTCTACAGTCTGATATGAACCTAAGAAGGTTGACTGGTACCTGAATATGATTAAATAAAATGTCAACCACTCCACATGAACAATGGGAATAAAGTAGTTTCAGTCTAAGTTCATTTTTCAATAAAGTCAACCAATACAGCCAAAGAGCTCCACCAACACAGCAGGGTGGGTGTATTAACATATCATCGAGGCCAAGGAACAGAACACTTCTTTCAGTATTGATGTAGCCAAAGGAACACCCATATGAAGCATTAACCTTACACTCATACATCCCAAACTCACAAAATAAAAATGTTTGCATACAACCAAGACACTAGAGAATAGTTCTAATGACTAGTTGAAAGTCAGGTTTCAGGCATGGACCATAACCTCCAATAGTTGGACAAAAGTAAAATAGTACCAACTGCATACTATTCTATTTCAAAATAAAAAAAATATAAAAAAAACACATCTAACAGTAGATGAGCAACAAAAAAAAAATTATAACATATGGAGGTAGAAAAATAAACCATACAGAAAACAAGTGAATGCATATGAACAGAACAAACATACGTGCATATACACATTATTTGTCCACTAATAATGCCAAGTCCACCATGTACATACACAATAACGTAAGCTTACCATCCAACAGTGTTATTGTCAACATTGACTTCTCTCAGACATCTCATCATTTCAAGCTGGTAATTAGCACCATCGGCTTCAATCTCCTCATCCTCCTCTCGTGTCTAACAGATAAAAGTTAATAAATTAGAAGAGGTTTAAGAGTATAACAAAATCCCTGAACCATAAAACAAAACACAAAACAAACTGCCTCCTCATACCGGGAAGGGAAAGCAATTGGTAACTTCAAGAACGCTACCAACATCTAACCCAAGAAGTTGCCCAGTCACAAGGGAGGGTGAAAACTCCTTGCAATGCTTGATTATCTTCAGTATAACCTGTAGAGTTGACACAAAAGGTTTTTACCTTGACATAGGGGTACAAGACCAGAATTCAAGAAAATAAAAATAAGTTCAAAACACTTGTCCTCACTAATTGCTCGCCCTATATAACAAACCAAAGCCTCAAATATAATCATTTTTCCTCCGGTAAGAATACAGCCGCGACAGGAATGTGGCAAAACCGAAAGTACAATAATTCTGAATCCTAATTGGAAGGCAAACTAATTATCAAATGGAAAATGGAAAATAGTGTTGTATAACGCTAAGCACTCCGTCGCAACCACTAAAAGAACCCAGTAACCTTCGAACAAACAATAAAGTATCCTCTGAATTACGGTGTTATAAAAAAATTACCGAACGTATGAAATGAAAACATCCGTTTTGTTTATGTGGTGGACGAATTAATAACACGAATTAGTTCTAATTAGTTCAATCTAAACCAAACGCAAAACAAGAAAAAGAACAGGAAAAAATTACCAAGCCTTCAATCTGAACAACTCGGAGAGGGGATGCCACCTCTTCCGTGACGGCGACCTGCAGAAAAGATCTAGCCATTGCTGCACCACCACAAACGCATTCATCAACAACGAAACAAGCCCAAAATCATACTTCCAAATCAAAATTCAAACGCACGAACGACAAGCAAGAGAAGCAAAAGAGGCGTTATACATACTGTTTGCCATGATCAGCGATTCGCAAAGCTCGAGGATGATAGAAGAAAGAGCTGAATTGAATCGCAGAAGCGGCTTCGCGCGTCTTTCAGAGGTGCGAAACTACGAGAGTTTGTGAATAAACCCTACCAGCGGCAGCACAGTCCGGTGATGGGCAAGAGAAGAAACAACTCCCACTGTGGGCCCAGTTTGGGTTAAATGGGCCGAATATGTATATTGAAATCTTTAATTATGGGCCCAAATAAAAACAGAAAAATATCAAATTTAGGGCTCCGTTTTTTTTTTTTTTTGCATTTAAAAAATTTACTAAGATTTAAATGTGTTTTGAAAAATTAAAGAGCTAAAAAAAAAGGAAAATAAAACGCTATTTACATTGAGAGTAATTTTCATCCACTTTTTTTTTAAAACTAAAACCATTAGTTTATTAGTTTAAATAGTTTTTATTTTATAAAATATACATTTTTAATATTATAATTAATAAAGTTTTTTAATACCTTGATTTATTAAATTATGGGTTTAGTCGACTAAAACAAAAATACTATCCATGAATTAAATAATTCATAGGTGGAAAAGGATGGATGGGACAAAAGTGAATAGAACAACTTTTGATGTTACGTACCCTTTTCCGGCGTTAAAGGAATAAGCAAATTGAATTGAGTTATATAAATTCTTAACAGAATATCACGTGATAATTGAAACAACGACATGATATTAACTACTTTGGGTATAAGTTCTGGTAACATTAATTTTGGACTTTCAAACTGTCTCATTATTGACTTTGTTGCCACTCCTAACAATCCTATCTTCGATCAAACTTCCACTCAACCCTTCTCTATCGACCCTATTTGTCCATTAGCTCACACAAGTACGAGTCACGTTGTGGGATATTCTCTGATGGTGACAATCGTCTATTACACCATTTATCTCATTCCCTCGAGCAAAGATCTACTCTTTTCAGGAAGTCATTGATAGAGTTTTTTGAAATACAATAACTTTTCTTATGCATGAGGGGGTGTGTCAGTAAGACACTGGCCCTGAATGGGGTGGATTTGGTGGTGGTCCTATATTGATTGGAGAAAGAAACAAGTGTTAGGAAGTACGCTGACCCAAAGTGGGGGATCCAGAGAGTTTCACGTTGGTTGGGGGAGAATAACGGATCGAACTATTAATTACTATATGTTGGGTGACAAGGCCTGCAATTTGCAATTACATAATTCCACAAAATCCAAATCCTTCTTTGAAGCGCACCAATTTTCACAGATTCTTCTCCACTTTCCATTTCCCCAACCCCCTCAATCCTCATTTTGCCTTCTCCTCCCACTCTCCATTGACAACCACCTCCGATTACAGTGCTCTAATGGCGGTAGCCTCCGCCACGACCCTCTTTTTCCCCCCACTTCCCACCTCTTCTAACCAACCCCACCATCGCCATCGCCGTCTCGATGCTTTTACCCTCCGACCCTCTTCAATTTCCACCCCCAATTTCCTTCCCCAACTTCCCTTTTCCCTCAATTCCTCACCGATTCCCCGCCGTCGTCGATTTTCGGCTGAGGCTTCTATTGGAGACAGCGAGAGTGGCGGTTCGACCTCTACCTCGGATGACGACGGCCTTGTCGGCGAGGACGCTGCTGTTTTTAATCTTTCCGAGCAGAAATTGGCGTCGTGGGCTTATTTCACTGTGATTTTGGGGGTTGTTCTGTTCGTGTTGAATGTTGTTTGGATCGATAATTCTGCTGGGGGTGTTGGGAAGGCCTTCGTGGATGCTATTTCTGGACTTTCGGATAGTCATGAGGTACCCTTCTATATGATTTCTGTAGCTTGATTTCCTTTTTGGAGTATTAGAACATGCTGAAGACTGTATAGGAATACTTCCATTGCTAGATTTGCTGGATTGCAGGACAATATCATTTCGTTGTTCTTTGTCTTTAACATGCTGAAGATTGGTTTTGGTTGAAGCTAATGGGTGTTTATAGCTGGATGAACTGGCTTCCAATTTACTAAATTCCATTGCTAGCTGATGTTTAAATTTGGTGATTTTGGTGTATAAAAGATGAAACTAGAACTTTGGAACAATTGCATAAACCATCCCTAAACTATGGAGTTTGTAACAATCATACCCTTGAACTTTGAAGTGTTGCAATCGATCCGTATACTTTGTTAAGTGTAGCAATCAGCCCTTCCGATTTAACAAGAGACCTTAAGTCAAGAGGCATTCGGGAAGCGACTAGTCACTTCTAGCAACGCTTCTATGAGGCCGACCACTACATAAACAAAGAGATCCTTCAATGATTGCAGCACTAACTACTGGAGTGATTGATCGAACTATAAGTTCAAGAGTGTGATTGGAACGCTTAGCAAAGTTGAAGGGGCGGATTGATCTTAAAAGTTCAAAGGTGTAATGGTAACAAGTCCTATAGTCGAGGGGCGGCTTGTGCGATTTCCCCAAAACTTTTAAGATGAAAATCTTACCATCGACCGGGGAGGACGAACTGAGCATATGTGGTGCATGGCCTTGCTAAATGTCTGAATCTCAGTCTTGGAACTTTGTTATGCAGGTTGTGATGTTGGCCCTCATTTTCATTTTTGCTGTTGTCCACAGTGGTTTGGCTAGTCTCCGAGATCAGGGCGAGAAGCTCGTTGGAGAACGAGCTTTTCGGGTTCTGTTTGCAGGAGTTTCTCTTCCATTGGCTGTCAGCACTGTGGTAGGTTCCTTCCCTCTACTTTTCCCTTTATCTTCTCTGACTGCACACCCCCATATTGACTTGTTTACACTAAGGAGTTGTATTCAGGTGTACTTCATTAACCATCGATACGACGGGGTACAGTTATGGCAGCTCCACAGCATTCCCGGATTGCATCAACTCGTGTGGCTCAGTTCGTTTATCTCCTTCTTCTTCCTATACCCTTCTACTTTTAATCTGCTAGAAGTCGCTGCAGTCGATAAACCGAAAATGCACCTTTGGGAAACAGGCATCATGAGAATAACTAGGCATCCACAGGTATGTTTGTGTTTCATTATCTTGAATGTTCATTGCATTTCATGACAGTATCAGGGTTTCTTTGCGGTTTATTTGATTGCTTCGGCTTGAACCGTTGATGAACGTCGTCATTGGCATGTTAGATAAGTTTTCTTATGTCAAGTATATTCGGTTAGCTGCTGTAAAGAGCTCGAGTATGAAAGCTTAGCGACCAAAATAGAAGTCAAACTAAACTATTTTCCCGTAAAAGTCATGTTTAATCTTACGGAACAAATTCGTTTGAAGATTTGAAACAAGAAGATAGGGAGACGAAATGGATTTAATGTGTAACAGCTCAAGCCTAGTACTAGTAGATATTGTCCTCTTTGCGGTTTCCCTCAAAGTTTTTAAAACACGTCTACTAGGGAGAGGTTTCCACACCCTTTTAAAGAATACTTCGTTCTCCTCCCCAACCGATATGGGATCTCACAATCTACTCCTCTTTGGGGCTCAGCGTCCTCACTGACACTCATTCTCTTCTCCAATCAATGTGGGACCCCTTAATCTAGCGTCCTTGCTGGCACAACCACCCCGTGTCTGGCTTTAATACCATTTGTAGCTGCCTAAGTCCACCGCTAGAAGATATTGTCCTCTTTGGGTTTTCCCTCAAGGTTTTAAAACTCGTCTGTTAGGAAGAGGTTTCCACACCCTTATAAAGAATGCTTCGTTCTCCTCCTCAACTGACGTGTGATCTCATATGATGATTATCTGTTTCAAGATCGGATGTTGATATTCACGAGGGGAGAGGACAAACACGACCTTTTTATAAACACTGATCATACCAAATCTTGGTTTCTGTTTGAAGATGGTTGGACAGGTGATCTGGTGCCTTGCTCACACAGTCTGGATTGGGAACTCAGTTGCAGTAGCAGCTTCCATTGGGTTGATAGGACATCATCTGTTCGGGGTATGGAACGGGGACAGGAGGCTAGCAAAGCGATACGGGGCAGATTTTGAAGCGGTGAAAAGGCGAACGAGCGTCGTTCCATTTGCTGCCATTCTGGATGGTCGTCAAAAGTTGCCCGACGACTACTACAAGGAGTTCATTCGGTTGCCATATCTATCAATCACTGCACTGACCATAGGTGCCTACCTTGCCCACCCTCTCATGCAAGCTGCAAGCTTCAGGCTTCATTGGTAGACTTTATTTCTATGCAGCCGACTCACTTGTATTAGAACTATACACCACTGTATAAACTAAGGCACCAATGGTAGAGAAATTTGATCCCTTAGTTATAGCCTTATTTATTATATAATTATAAATATAGCAGTTTTAAATGAATAAAACAAGCTCCTTTTCAAATTATTAAAAAATAATAATAGTAATAAAAGTGTTAAAAATACCATTTGATTACATTTTAGTTTTTATATTTTAAATGTTTAATTTTTAATAATTCTTAAAATTAGTCTCTATTAAAACTAAAAATAGACCATGATTTTACCGTCATGACTTGGTCTATATTTTATTACTTTTGAAACAATTTAAGTTTATTACTAATGGATATTGTTTTCTATGGGTTTTCACTGTGAGTTTTTCCTCGAGATTTTAAAACCACACCCTTACAATAAATGCTTAGTTCCCGATTTCACAATCCACTCTCCCCTGGTCAATCCCTGGGTCTCCTCTCCCTCGGGTCTCCTCTCTCCTTGGGTCAATCCACTCTCCCTTGGGTCTCCATTGGACTCGCCCGGAGTCAATCCACTCTCCCTTGGGTCCAGTGTCGTAGCGCACGTCTATTAGGCCACTCTCTCCTAGGTCCAGTGTCGTAGCACATGTCTGTTAAGGAGAGGTAGCACATGTCTATTAGGCCACTCTCTCCTGGGTTCAGTATCATAGCACAGGTATGTTAGAGAGGTAGCACATGTCTGTTAAGGAGAGGTAGCACATGTCTATTAGGCCACTCGCTCCTGGGTTCAGTATCATAGCACATGTATGTTAGGGAGAGGTTTACACCGTCATTATTTAAATTTTAATGTAAAGTTAAAATAAAAATAGAAAAGGAAGGAGAGAAAAAAGGAAATGGAAGCGTCAGCACACGCTCTGTCCCTTGCCCCAAACTGACACTGAGCTGAACCACTCAGTATCAGTACTCACTAATTCCTTCTTCATTCTCACCCTCTCCCTTCTTCCC